TACTAGTTGATCAATTTTTTAACCGAGGCCAGGATGTAAGTACTATGAATATATTTATATTTGTAACATAGAAACACTGACTAATTTTAATGATATTGGTAGAGGATTGTTGTTGAAAGGTGACAAATCGAATAAAGTTGTCATGTTGCCCTGCAGACAAGAATGTGTGGCTTGTTTGTCTGTCTGTGAACATGTCAGCTAAAATGACATTGAAAATGCTCAACACAGTGGCCGCCTTTCATAAAAAAACAAATGATTATATTCTGGGAGAGATAAGGATTTTGAAGTTGTTCATCATATATAAGCAAGATAACATTTGCATAAGTTATTGACAAATATTCTTCTAATGTTCATAGAGGGTCGCGACAGAGATTTTGGAAGAAAAAAAATGTTTGGATGATCAATTTCAGAATGCCTTCTATGTTTTGTTTGCCTTTGTAATTCAATGTAAATTTTAGAATAAGTTGCGCTCAAAACAAAGGAAAACTTGATTATATGTGAGATGCTAATCCAGCCATTCTGGATTTGTTATTTTGTCTGTGAGCAAGATAACTCAAGTGATGAACACATATTTATTGTTTTTAGGAAACGTTGCACTTGGGACAAAAAAACAATCAATTTGTGTCCCACCCCACTAGTCATACGCCATCATAAATAATTAGTATTTCCAAACAAAAAACTGTATATTATCTAACAGCTAGCAAATATACAATGCAACCTAAGTCAATTGGAATATATCAACAGTAAAATTAACATGAGTTACACAGCTGTGACTCAAATCTCACTCAATATATGAAATCTCTCTACAATTAAGTGTAAACAAGCAATAAAATGTCTCTTTACAAATATGAGTATAAAAGCTACTATTCAATACTATGCTCTGTGCTAGTATTGTCTCGGTCAGCTGCAAACTGCATGCAACTCCTTATATGGTAATAGTTTAATGACATCACAATGCTTACCAATCACAACGCAACATGCAATAAAACAACTTGCGTAGAAAAGTAGCAAATCAAAGGTTCAACATACCGTAAGTGAATGAACATGAAAGCCAGTGCACATCAAACTGAATCAATGGAAACCAGCAACCATGTTGTTGACATATTTTCCGTTCAATTTGAGCGAGTGTCTAAAATTCGTGAACTGGCAAATTCAATTTTATATCTGATTTTCTCTCAAAAATTACATTTTGTAACTAAGATTCGACACGAACAATATCGTGGTATTGCAAGGATCGAAATCTCTACTTGCGCCACCTGAATGCGCCAGCACAAACAATGTGCGCCCAATTGTTGTACCATCATTCTGTGCCTTTATTCTGCTCCATCTATAAAATTGAAACTTGGCGTCATTCGGGGTTCAAACTTTTAAAAATATGTGTTCAACTTGAGCGAGTTAAACACTTTTAATGAAAATGAAAAACCGACTTTTGTAAGCACTTACTTACTTACTCTTACAAAGCCTTTTTAAAGTTCCTGCAACCCAACCACTGAGCATTTCACAAAAAATTCACCTGGCGGATACAATGAAACAACACTCCGCCGAACAGACATTACATGTGGTGTAGTAATACAATGTTACTTCC